ACAGAAGGAAGTTTTAGAATTAGTTACTTCAAAAATCAATGATTGCAATACTTCGAATTTTTAAGAATACTGATTTTGATGAGGATGTTAGCAACTTAGTACCCAAAGAGCTTTTATTGTTCGCTATAATTACCGGACTCAAATATCAACATATAAAATAACCAATTGGTTAAATTTTTTTAGTAAGGTGAACAATAGTAATTAATGCGTTGAATTAATCGCTTTGAGTAAACCGAAGAGAAGATATATTAATTTTTTTTCGTATTATTATTTACGATCGACTCTATAGTAATACTCTATTGAACTACATATTCTTTTTCATCCATACTTTTTTTATAGATTCTTTCTAATTTCAATAACAAGACTTTTATATCTTATTTCATTGTCATTTTTTTTTCTTTTTTGAATTATTCATCTTCGTAAGGTGAAATAATAACCTTAATGGTTGTTGAAAAACATCCGATTCATAAAGAAATAAAAAATCAATATTCATTTCACCAGCAAGATGTGATGCATGTAACCATAAACGTATAGTTCGTGTTGAATTAGCTAATAATGGATGATGATGACTAACAAGTGTTAATACGGAAGATTGTTGATTCAATGGATGATTCCACATTGATTTAGATTCATTTGTATATGTTAATAAAGAATCTTCGTCTATTGAAGATACTGTTATTAGATTTGGTTGACTTATTACTAATCGAACACGAGTTATTGGATGCATTGAACTTGTATTTATTAAATGAATTAAACAAGATTGAATTTCACCACAAAACATTGCAGCAGGCATCGGAGAAAATTCAATCTGAAGAACAAAAAAAAAACCAAAGCAACGAGAAATGTTTTCTTTTTTTAGTTAATCTCATTCATTTTTTTTTTCGGAAAAACTTACATGTAGAAGTGGTGCTTCTGGTACAACTTGTATTTCTAATCGTTTATCAACACCATAGATAATATTGAGACGTTCTCGACGATTTGAATTAAGTCGAATACCTTTAACATGAAATAATGTTTTACCCATTATTCCATACGGCCAAGTTGTTTGATCACTTATATTTTGTACAAGAATATTAAGTCGATAGCATATACCTAATATTGTCAAATTACCAGAACGACGTGGTCGTAATGATAATTCTATCTTTAATTATTATAAAAAGAACCAAAAATATACATAAAGTAACATACGAAATCATTTATAACTTACTTTGGAAGTATCATTTGGAAAAATAACACAATCACTGAGAATACCACATTCAACAAGTTCCTCAGTCTAGAAATTTATAGATTTCAAATAAATGATTAATTTATTGACTTGAAGATCTTAGGGTATAGGATACGGAAAAGTCTTACTCTAAGAACCAAAGATAACATGTGATGTCTTTAGAGCTGATGATGGCTGTACTTAATGATAATAAAAAAAAAATGTTCGGAAATTTCAAATTTAGTGTAAAATTATATTAAAATACATTATTACAATTAATATATTACGAAATGTTTATGAGGGAACATTCATAAATGTTTAATTGCTTTTCGCATCGAGATATGAGTTTGCCATAGAAATGTCTTTCTTTTGAAACATACTCCAAACAAGCGTTTCTTTAAAATGTAAACAGTCAAGTTAGTTCTTTTCATCTGTTATCAGGAAATTTAGCATTTAGATCTCTCGTATATATTCATATTCACGATAATAGTAAACTAGATTTGAATTTTTGTAGAGCTTAATTTTTAGAATTAATTATTAGAATAGCTTAGAATATAAGGATAATTTAGAAAATTGAATAAATACTTTTTTTGTTAAGATCTCAATTATTTGTATATAAACATTAATGATAAAGATATTCGTGTAGTATTTTCAATGTTGTATTCTTACTTGTTTTGTCAATGTATCATTAGTATATTCTTTCCATTCTTCAGTAGTATCTGCTGATACACTTGCTTTTCTCTTCCAAGTACCTAATGAAAATTTCCATAATATTTGTACTTCACTCATTAATAATGGAACTTGAAGTGTATTTCGTACATAAAATTCAACACGTATAGTTTCTAGAAAAGAAATTTTCATTGATGATTTTCTTTTTTAATTTACAAACCATTAGCAACAGCTATTGGATGTTGTTGATTATGTGTACGACTTGTAAATAAATTTAGTTGTGCACGAGTACCACTAGCTCGACGATCATGAGCAGTTACTGTTCGTTCAAGATCTGACCATATATCTCGTGTTTCTTCAAAATCAAAATCATTACAATTTGATACATATCCACCTACAATAATAAATAACTTAATGAAATTCGTTAGAAAGAAAATAAAATAATAATAAATCAAACCCATTCGTGGTTGTTGATGACCAGCAAGAAGAACTTTAATTGTTGTATTATCTACTAATGGTACAGGTAATTCTGGTAGAACTGTTTCTGAACTTGTTAATTCCTGAAGAAAATACAAAGAAAACAATAGCTGGCAAAATGGTATAAATAAACTTACATTGAATACCGTTAAATATTCTTTAAAAAAATTAATTTGTTGTTGAGCATTTTGTATTTGATTATTTGATGAAAAAAGTGCATTAAAACTTCTCATAGCATCATTAGATTGATGTATCAAGGCACTTTGTTTGCCTAATGTAAAGTTGATATGATCCTAATATTCAAACAAAGAAAATTCTTGTAAAATAATCAACATAGTTTTAAAGAATTATAAATAGAGTTTAAGATATCTCTCCTACTGTAACAATAGGATGTCTATTAGATAAGCAGATAAATCAATAGAGGAAAAACGCCATTAATGAACAAAGGAATACATTCTCAACTGTCGGAAATCCATTCAACTTCATATTATGATTATGAGACTAAGAAAAGTCTACAAAGATTTTGAATAAATAATTTATTGGCAAAGACTGTATAACCGTTTGGCTGAATTTCTCTCACTATCTATTCGCATTATTATCCCATTTTATGAACGCTCAATTAGATCATAACAAACGCATTTCTTTTAGTTTCGATCCTAAAGTTTATTTGCCAATATCTAATTACAATAGCGTAGTAAATTAATTTTCATATTGATTCCAAGGATTTAAAGGGTGTCCCAGAAGTTCTGTTACAATTTTGAAATTCATCGTTCTCGCGTTCAACAAAAGGCAAACTTCTTGAAACTTTGGCAGATTATTGTACCTATCAAGTACTACATAACTACAA